CCCCCCCCCAGCCCCCTTTCCCTCTGGTGTGATTTTAAACTGATGGATGTGTGCTTCATCCCCTCAGGATGTGCAGATAGATTACAGCTGTGTCCTTTGTGAGCGCTCCTGGGCTGCTGGGTGACACTCCTTGGAATGAAGAAACAGTTCCTAGTCACTCAGGGAGGCTCTTACTCACTAACTAGCTGAGTCTTTTATACGTGTCTTTCTGTGACTAATGGGAGATTTCTGAAATCATGACCTTTCAATGAGGCCGCAGAGGTTTCTGTTTGTTTCCACCAGGGTCAGAAGGCGGGACCAGCACAGCTCTCCGTGAGCCCCCGCAGACTCACTCGCAGCGCTGCAGGCGCTCTGCCCTGAATGTCAAGTCCCTGTCTTCCCAGTGTTCTGCCTGTAGTTTTAAAGAAATTATTGAGAATGCAAAGATTTCCCCTTCTGTACATTTCTGTTAGGTTTTAATGCCAGTCAGTTATACCAGCTGACAGAGGAAGTCATTCTTCCTGAACTGAGTGGAAGAACGGATATTTCTCAAAATGTTTTGGGTTACTCGATGAGCTCAAGTAGAAGGCCTCTGGATGAATTAGGTTCAGGGTTCCAACACTTCATTTTAACAAAACGAGTTTTCAGCCCCAGTGCTGGTTAGGTATATTGGTAAGTCCATTTAAAGAGCAAAAAGGTTTTTTTAATGCACATTGGAAAAGCAGGATACCCAAAACCCTTCTCCCAACTGTACATTCTAGTCCTCGGGAAGCTAACTTCCTATGGACTCTTCAAGCATCTCTATAACGTGATTTGCCTGTAACAATACAGCATTCACATTTGCCTATTAGTGTTAAGTGAAAGGCATTGCCTTTTATGGGCTGACATCATAGTGATCCTTACATCTCATTTCCACTGAACATCTGGGCGGTTCCGACCCTCCCTGGTGTGCGTTTGGCGGGATGTAGGAGATCGTGGCAGCATCAGGAGGGACCGTCCACTTCCTAATTTGTAGAGAACTAGTTCTCACTTGCAGCCTGTCTCCAAGCCCAGACCCGCGTCCCTGGGCGTGTCCGCACTCCATGCCACACCGATTTCCTGCCTGCTCCCTGCCGGCCAGGCGCTGTGCTAAGCCTGGGAACAAGACCAGCTCCAGTTCTCAAGGAACTGACTGGTCCATCTGGCCTGGTCAAACGAAATTTCTCCTTTTTCTCATCATTTTATTTCTTAGGGGCCTCAGCCCTGGACGACAACCGAAAGCTAAAACACAACAGCATGGATGTACTTGCCTTTCTTTGAGGAACTGTGAGCACATGAAGCCACACTCTTAGAATTACATTTGATACTTTTAATTGACTGTAAACATTTATTTCACCAATAAGGAGATGTGACATGAAAATGACTTCACACATGCCCAGTGTGAGCTTATTTGGAAGCATCGAAAGATCTGAAATGGGACATGAGAGAATGAAGGAGCCCTGCCACGTCATCCTCAACCACGGGTTCACTAGCCCCTAATTTCCCTCCTTCACAGGAAGCTGGGCAGCACTGCCACCGTCCATTGCAGCCAGGTGCACCTGTCTCATTCTGGCCAGTGCCATGCACACTTGGTGTCATTCTGGATCAAGAAATGGTCTCAACCTGACAGCTCAGAGTCTCACCACTTATCTAAAACAGACTGACAATCTTTACGTATCTTAAATAGTAATGGATGGGGGGGGAGGGGGGAGTAGTTATTTTTCCCTGGTTTTGTATAGTCAAGGAATTAGGTTATAACTAACCCACCAAAGAACAATTAGCAATTTTATTGACGGAGGTTGTATTAATACTTTTATCATAGATTCAAACATTTGTTAGTTTTAACACATTTGTCTGCCTTGCTAAAGTCATTGGGACTTCTCAGCAAATGCTTAAGTAATTTTTAAAGTAAAATTATTTCACTAGATCCCCGGTTAGGGCACATGTCCGGGTTTTGTGCTTGATCTCCCGTGGGGGGCGTGCAGGAGACAGCTGATCAATGACTCATCATTGATGTCTCTCTCTCCCTTCCTCTCTCTGAAATCAATAAAGATATATATTTAAAAATATATATTTCACTAGACATGCAGATCACACAGGGATCTTGCATCAATTGCTGTTTCACAGATTAAAACCAAAAGTCAAGAGAGAACCAAGTTAAAAATTATGATTTATTCATCACCATGTAGTGTAAGGCAAAGCCTTATTTATGAGTTTTATTCTTCTCCACTGAAGAGATTATATTTTAATACAGCTTTTCAGTCATTATACAGCTCACAATGTAAATGTTTTCCATTGCTTTTTCCATCGAATAGCACAAAACAACACACGAAGTATAAGCCCCGTGTTGTGTACCTAGTTTTTGGAGCTCTGGTGAACATGTGGAAGTGTTGGGGGTTTTATTATTGTTCAGATTCAGCCACAATTACATTGTAGCAGGAAACACCAGCATGTGAAGCTGAAAAATCTAGGGATTGTTCTTGGTAGTTACGAAACGTAACTGCTTGGCTGCCCATGTCACCGTAGTAACACAAAAAGCAGAGGAAGTAACGCTTAGAGATCAAAATGACTCATTGAAGGAAATTAGCAAAAAGGACTTCCTTGAGGTAAATGTGGGATGGTCTGAAAACATAAAAATCTTCTGGCTTTCAAGCTCAGACCAGTGAGTTCCCTCCAGTGTGTTTACAGTACAACTTGGGCACAAGCCGGGGCTGGTCCATGCAAAAAAAGCAAGGCCTGGCCTGATACTGGGGCGCTTCTCCATATGAGTGGACAATTCCTAAGGTAGTTTTTCTTCTTACCAAAGAAAATCCATAACTGGAATAATTTGCTCAAGTATTTTTAAAGTTA